TAACACCATGTTGATACATGCTGCTAGACATACTGAAAATAATCACACATGTTATAACACCATGCTGCTACATGCTGCTAGACATACTGAAAATAATCACACACATAATAACACCATGTTGATACACATACTGCTAGATATACTGAAAATAATCACACACATAATAACACCATGTTGATACACATGCTGCTAGATATACTGAAAATAATCACACACATAATAACACCATGTTGATACACATACTGCTAGATATACTGAAAATAATCACACACATAATAACACCATGTTGATACATGCTGCTAGATATACTGAAAATAATCACACACATAATTACACCATGTTGATACACATGCTGCTAGACATACTGAAAATAATCACACACATAATAACACCATGTTGATACACATGCTGCTAGACATACTGAAAATAATCACACACATAATAACACCATGTTGATACACATGCTGCTAGACATACTGAAAATAATCACACACATAATAACACCATGTTGATACACATGCTGCTAGATATACTGAAAATAATCACACACATAATAACACCATGCTGATACATGCTGCTAGATATACTGAAAATAATCACACACATAATAACACCATGTTGATACACATACTGCTAGATATACTGAAAATAATCACACATGTAATAACACCATGTTGATACACATACTGCTAGACATACTTGTAGTAAGCAAGTCTACAAGATATAATAAGCCACGCCTTTAATATCAAATATCGTAATTGTTACTGTGTGTACGTTTACTTGATGTTTGGGAGTTTATGAGTGTATACTTGGATGCAACACATATAATAAAATATATAAACCATCCTTCGGGTCTTGTTTAGTTTGTGTGCTAGTAAGCCATCCAAATAGAAAATATAAATGTTACATTGGCGACGAGGATGGGATATTAAAAAAAAAAATTGCGGATTAATTTAAACTGACTCTGTGAAAAAAAAGGCAGATTTGAAAATGGATAATTTACCTGCTTTTCCGAAATTCGATGTTTTTGCTGATGAAAATTCTCTGGGAGTACGATGGGAAAAGTATTTGGATAAATTAGAAAACTTATTTGTTGGACTGGGTATAAACACTAGAAAACGGAAAAAAGCACTGTTACTTCATTATGCAGGAGATGATGTTTACGATATCTATGATACATTGAATTTAAGAGAAGACAATGAAAACTACGAAGAAACGAAAATTGGATTAACAGCATACTTTAAGCCAAGAAAAAACACACAATTTGAAATATTCGAATTTCGTAATATGAAGCATTTGCATGGGGAATCTATCGACCAGTTTACAACAAGATTACGCCAGAAAGCTAAAGAATTGTGAATTTTCGGACATTGACTCAGAAATTAAGAGCCAGATTATACAGGGTGTTATTTCACAAAAATGAGGATACAGTGTTTACAAGATGCAGATAAAACACTGAATGATTTACTTCAAAAAGGAGAACCATGGAAATATCAAAAAGTCAAGCAGCAAATATGTCAAAGGATGAAAGTAGTCAGCAAGTAGTGCGGGTAAAAAGCAATCCTCGATTTAGCCGTCAATCAAAGGGATTCGCACCTAAACGTTATCAGCAACGTTCATATCAAACTATCCCAGAAGCAAGTTTGTCGTCGGGAAGGCGAAACTACCCTCCAGAACGAAATAAACAAGAGCTGTCCGTAAGACAGCGTGCTCGACTTTTTTAGTGCTTGCCTATAATACAAAACATTGACAGTTAAGGGCCATAATTCAAATAAAATCTTTGACAGAATTACCTTCTCCTGGACATGTTTGGGAATCATGATTGTAAACAAGTATTCCAACTTTCAAATTAATATCTCAAACAGTTCAGTCAAAAAGTGGACTGGTACTAAAAACTTAACCAAGATTCTAAGTCGATAAAAGGCCTTAATTTTTAAAACAAATCCTTGACAGAGTTACCTTCTCTTGCGTACAGATGGGGGTAATGATGTGAAATAGCATTAAAAGTTTCAAAGCAATATCTCAAAGGGTTAAGGCAATAAGTGGATTTTACCCATATTCAATGTATTTTCTAAGTCAAAAAGGGGCATAATTCTGTCAAAAACCTTGACAGAGTTATGTCCTCTTGTCTGTTGATGAAGGTCGTGATGGTAAACAAGTATGGTCAGTTTCAAAGCAATACCTCCAATGGTTTTGAAATAAAGTGAGGTGGTACAAAAAACTTAACCAAGATTCTAAGTCGATAAAAGGCCTTAATTTTTAAAACAAATCCTTGACAGAGTTACCTTCTCTTGCGTACAGATGGGGGTAATGATGTGAAATAGCATTAAAAGTTTCAAAGCAATATCTCAAAGGGTTAAGGCAATAAGTGGATTTTACCCATATTCAATGTATTTTCTAAGTCAAAAAGGGGCATAATTCTGTCAAAAACCTTGACAGAGTTATGTCCTCTTGTCTGTTGATGAAGGTCGTGATGGTAAACAAGTATGGTCAGTTTCAAAGCAATACCTCCAATGGTTTTGAAATAAAGTGAGGTGGTACAAAAAACTTAACCAAGCTCAATACACTTTCTAAGTCAAAAAAGGGCCATAATTCTGTCAAAAACCTTGACAGAGTTATGTACTCTTGTCTGTAGATGGAGGTTATGATGGTGAACAAGTATGGTAAGTTTCAAAGCCATACTTGTAATACTTCTGAAATAAAGTGGGGTGGTACGAAAAACTTAACCAAGGTGTGACGCCAACGCTAACGCCGACGCCGACGCCGACGCCGGGGCGAGTAGGATAGCTCCCCTTTTCATAGAAAAGTCGAGCTAAAAATGCCGAAATTGTGGAGGAAGGTATCCCCATATGTCACGTTGTCCTGCTATCGGAGCGGAATGTAATTACTGTCATAAGAAGAATCATTTTATATCGGTCTGCAGAAAACGTCAAAACAAGGTGAAGTTAATCGATGATGAACAGTCGGAATCACAAGTTTTATCAGAGGCAAGCACGTCGAGTGTTAGTTCAAATGAGTGCGATGTTTTATTTGGATTTAAAATATCAGATGGAAAAAAAGTGCCAAAGAAATGCATTAAATTAAATGGAGTAGATGTTTATGTGTTGATAGATAGCGGTTCATCGTTAAATATTATTAGCGAAATCGACCTCGAGAAAATGAAAATCCGTCCAGAAATCAAGAAAACGAAAACAAAAGCATTCACATTTGGACAGAAATCTCCACTTCCATTCATAGGCAAATGTTCCCTGCTTGTGGAGTCGGACTCAAAATTTATGACAAAAGATTTTCATATCGTTAAAGGTAACAAAGAATCATTGATCAGTTATGAATTATCGGTAGAGCTCGGGATTTTTACCGCAAATACAATCAGTTCATAAATCAGTTCAAAGCAAAGACGCATATTCAGGACTTATTGAAGAATATTCTCAAGTTTTCACAGGCTTAGGATGTCTGAAAGACAGAAAAGTTAAGTTTCATATTGATGAAAGTGTTGTACCTGTAGCTCAACCGCCTAGGAGAGTTCCATTTCATGTACGTGCGCAAGTCGAACATGAACTGAAAAGTTTAGAGGAAATGGATGTTATTGAAAAGGTTATAGGTTTACCGACACCATGGGTTTCGAACTTAGTAGCGGCTCCGAAACCTAATGCTCCGCACGAAGTGAGAGTGTGCGTAGATATGAGGAAAGCTAACACCGCAATCAAAACAGAGAAAAATGTTTGCCCGACGGTGGATGATATCATCTTGACGTTAAACGGCGCAACTGTATTTTCACGTCTAGATCTGTACAAAGCTTTCCATCAAATTGAATTGGATGAAGCATCACGTGTAATGACAACGTTTCAGACACATATTGGACTGTTTAGGTATAAACGTCTAAATTTCGGGGTGTCCGCAGCACCGATAATTTTCCAAAATGAGCTTCGTCAAGCACTTCAAGGTCTTAAAGGCATATTGAATATTTGCCGACGACATCGTATGTTTTGGTAAGACACATGAGGAACACGACGCAAATCTTCGCGCTTTACTGCAACGTCTTCAGATAGAAACCTCACACTGAACAGCCAAAAATGTTCATTTGGACAATCTAAAATCAAGTTCTACGGATACGTATTTTCCGAATCCGGAATTTCACCCGATCCTGACAAAGTAAAATGCAGTGAAAAATATGGACAGACCAAAATCAATATCCGAAATCCGTTCATTTCTGGGTCTCACGAACTATTTGTCTAAGTTCATAGATGGCTATTCAAGCTTAACAGAACCATTAAGACGACTTACACATAAAGGTGTAAAATTTGAATGGACTGCCGACCAAGAAAAATCGTTCACATCATTAAAAGATACCTTAATTAGTGATAAGGTCATGACATATTTCGATCCTAGAAAGGAAACTGAACTCTGGGTCGACGGAAGTCCAGTTGGATGCTCAGGAATACTTATTCAAAACGGCAAAATAGTATCATATGGAAGCAAAGCATACAATTCGGTTCAGACGCGATATTCTCAAACAGAAAGAGAAGCTTTGAGTGCTGTCATCATGATTCAGCATTTCCATTTGTATTTATTCGGCAAGAAATTTAAACTGATAACAGATCATGCTGCACTTCAGTCAATCTTCAACAATATCAAGACAATACAATCACCAAGATTAGAACGTTGGCGTTTGAAGTTGACAACGTATGATTTTCAGACAGTTTTATAGACGCAGGTAAAATGATGATATCAGATTATCTTTCCAGGCATCCACATGCAAGACACGAAACAAATACAGTAGCCGAGCAGTATATTCAGCTTTATTACTGATAACGCTTTGCCAGATGCATTGAAGCTGTCAGATGTAGCAAAAGCTACCAATACGGACTGTATATTAAGCTGTGTAAGAAATGCATTAGAACAAAATGACTGGAAAACTCAAAAATGCAAATTAGACGAAAGTTTTCGGTTATACGAGAATTTGAATAAAAATCAAGAACTTGCAGTTGCATATACGGAAGATGGATTTGTGCTTTTACGGGGTACAAAACTTTGCATACCAGAATGTCTGCAAAAACAAACTGTTATGCTTTTCGCATGAAGGTCACCAAGGCCAATCAAAATGCAAAGGATTATTACGTGAATATTGCTGGTTTCCACATATGGATAGAATGGTGGAAGAAATTTGTAGATCATGCATTGTATGCCAAGCTGCATCAACAAGAATTATTCCAGACCCGATCAAACCAACATTACTACCACGAGATGTGTTTTCTGAAGTCAGTTGTGACTTTTGTGGTCCTTTTCCAGACGGTTACATGTTACTAGTTGTTATATGTGACTACAGTAGATTTCCAGTAGTTGAAAGAATCAAATCGACAGCCGCAGATACAGTCATACCGCGATTAGAGGCGATATTTTCGGTATTCGGATATCCAGAGGTAGTGAAAACGGACAATGGACCTCCGTTTCAAAGTCGCGCATTCAGAGAATTTGCTGATAATTCGGGATTCAAACATAAACGAATCACTCCATTGCACCCACAGGCAAATGGAATAGTTGAGAGATTTATGGCGCCACTGCAAAAAGCAATTAAAACAGCGATAGCGTCTAGACAAGATTATAAAAGAGCGTTAAGTAGATATCTTATGAATTTTCGGAACACACCACAAACAACTACACAAAACAGCTCCTAGTGAATTAATGTTCAATCGTTAAATTAAAAACAAAATTACCAAAGATGACATTTGACAACAAAGACACAAATATTCGAGACAGGGACAGTCTATCAAAAACGAAAAACAAAATATACGCTGATAAGAAACGTCGAGCTCAGCCAAATAATTTGAAACTGGGAGATCGTGTGTTATTAAAACGGGAACAACGGAATAAGTTTGAAACAGCTTTTTGACCCTACCCCGGGATAATCATCGCTATGAAAGGATCTATGCTTACAATCAAACATAAAGGAAAAGAAATCACACGGGACGTTTCAAATTTAGATATGTTCATGGAGATCAAGAGCCGGTGCAGCGAAAACCTGCAGATAATACATCTTTACCTACAAATAGGCCGCAGAGGAAACGCCGACCGCCGAGACGTTATGAAGATTAAAAGAAAAAAAAAGAAAATGGTTTAATCTATGATACCATTTCTCGTTACAGCTATAAAGGTTAATGACTCAAATGTGTGGGCCATAATAATGCCCTAATTATATTCGCTATCATAGCAGTGTATCATTTATATCCGCTTGCTGGATTTATTAACCTTAGGAAAAAATGATAACGTATGTGAGAACATTCTGTTATTCGTGAAATTAATACTTTTGGTTTTTATTAAATTACCTTATAATTGGGTTTTGTGTGGTAGAACGGAAAAACAAATCATTCTTTTGATAACAATGCTAGTTGTTTGAACAAATGTTGTGATAATAATGTAATTTGCTTGATATTTTGTGACATTACGAAAAATAGAAAAAGATATGACAATTAACAATAACATTATATTTATCATTACTTCGTTGAAACAGATGCCTAGTACACTGATTAGAGTAAATCGCGTTGGTTAATGAACTCTGCTGAAAAAGGAGAAGAGTTTATAACAATAGACTTGCTATATAGTTTATTTCATACGGAAAAAATATTTCTTATTACAATATGTTTGCACATTTCAATTTAAAGTTTTGATGATTTAAGTTTATTGATTTTATTGATGAGTTCTAAACTAAAGATAGAGGAGGATGTAGTAAGCAAGTCTACAAGATATAATAAGCCACGCCTTTAATATCAAATATCGTAATTGTTACTGTGTGTACGTTTACTTGATGTTTGGGAGTTTATGAGTGTATACTTGGATGCAACACATATAATAAAATATATAAACCATCCTTCGGGTCTTGTTTAGTTTGTGTGCTAGTAAGCCATCCAAATAGAAAATATAAATGTTACAATACTGAAAATAATCACACACATAATAACACCATGTTGATACACATACTGCTAGATATACTGAAAATAATCACACACGTAATAACACCATGTTGATACACATACTGCTAGATATACTGAAAATAATCACACACATAATAACACCATGTTGAGATACATGCTGCTAGACATACTGAAAATAATCACACACATAATTACACCATGTTGATACACATACTGCTAGATATACTGAAAATAATCACACACATAATAACACCATGTTGAGATACATGCTGCTAGATATACTGAAAATAATCACACAGATAATTACACCATGTTGATACATGCTGCTAGACATACTGAAAATAATCACACACATAATAACACCATGTTGATACATGCTGCTAGACATACTGAAAATAATCACACATGTTATAACACCATTGCTGCTACATGCTGCTAGACATACTGAAAATAATCACACACATAATAACACCATGTTGATACACATACTGCTAGATATACTGAAAATAATCACACACATAATAACAGTATGTTGATACACATGCTGCTAGATATACTGAAAATAATCACACACATAATAACACCATGTTGATTACACATACTGCTAGATATACTGAAAATAATCACACACATAATAACACCATGTTGATACATGCTGCTAGATATACTGAAAATAATCACACACATAATTACACCATGTTGATACACATACTGCTAGATATACTGGAAATAATCACACATGTAATAACACCATGTTGATACAAATGCTGCTAGATATACTGAAAATAATCACCACACATAATAACACCATGTTGATACACATACTGCTAGACATACTGAAAATAATCACACACATAATAACACCATGTTGATACACATGCTGCTAGACATACCTGAAAATAATCACACACATAATAACACCATGTTGATACACATGCTGCTAGACATACTGAAAATAATAACACACATAATAACACCATGTTGATACACATGCTGCTAGACATACTGAAAATAATCACACACATAATAACACCATGTTGATACACATGCTGCTAGATATACTGAAAATAATCACACACATAATAACACCATGCTGATACATGCTGCTAGATATACTGAAAATAATCACACACATAATAACACCATGTTGATACACATACTGCTAGATATACTGAAAATAATCACACATGTAATAACACCATGTTGATACACATACTGCTAGATATACTGAAAATAATCACACACGTAATAACACCATGTTGATACACATACTGCTAGACATACTGAAAATAATCACACACGTAATAACACCATGTTGATACACATACTGCTAGACATACTGAAAATAATCACACACGTAATAACACCATGTTGATACACATTCTGCTAGACATACTGAAAATAATCACACACATAATAACACCATGTTGATACACATGCTGCTAGATATACTGAAAATAATCACATATGTAATAACACCATGTTGATACACATGCTGCTAGATATACTGAAAATAATCACACACATAATTACACCATGTTGATACACATGCTGCAAGATATACTGAAAATAATCACACACATAATAACACCATGTTGATTCACATACTGCTAGATATACTGAAAATAATCACACACATAATAACACCATGTTGATACACATACTGCTAGATATACTGAAAATAATCACACACATAATTACATAATGTTGATACACATGCTGCAAGATATACTGAAAATAATCACACACATAATAACACCATGCTGATACACATGCTGCAAGATATACTGAAAATAATCACACACATAATAACACCATGTTGATACACATGCTGCAAGATATACTGAAAATAATCACACACATAATTACATAATGTTGATACACATGCTGCAAGATATACTGAAAATAATCACACACATAATTACATAATGTTGATACACATTCTGCTAGACATACTGAAAATAATCACACACATAATTACACCATGTTGATACACATGCTGCAAGATATACTGAAAATAATCACACACATAATAACACCATGTTGATACACATACTGCTAGACATACTGAAAATAATCACACACATAATTACATAATGTTGATACACATGCTGCAAGATATAACTGAAAATAATCACACACATAATTACACCATGTTGATACACATGCTGCAAGATATACTGAAAATAATCACACACATAATAACACCATGTTGATACACATGCTGCAAGATATACTGAAAATAATCACACACATAATTACACCATGTTGAGTACACATGCTGCAAGATATACTGAAAATAATCACACACATAATAACACCATGTTGATACACATGCTGCAAGATTTACTGAAAATAATCACACACACAATTACATAATGTTGATACACATTCTGCTAGACATACTGAAAATAATCACACACATAATTACACCATGTTGATACACATGCTGCAAGATATACTGAAAATAATCACACACATAATAACACCATGTTGATACACATACTGCTAGACATACTGAAAATAATCACACACATAATTACATAATGTTGATACACATGCTGCAAGATATACTGAAAATAATCACACACATAATTACACCATGTTGATACACATGCTGCAAGATATACTGAAAATAATCACACACATAATAACACCATGTTGATACACATGCTGCAAGATATACTGAAAATAATCACACACATAATTACACCATGTTGATACACATGCTGCAAGATATACTGAAAACAAGATATGTTTGTAAAACATGTATGCCCCCTATCAGCAGCCAATTAGTCATGTGATAAGGTTATTATGCATGACTTCTGACCCAGTGATCAAACAATTAATAAGGGTTATAAAGTATCTACTGGTCATGACCTTGACCTTTGACCCCTTGACCCAAAACTCAATAGGGGTCATCTGCTGGTCACGACCAATCATCATACAAAGTTTGAAGTTCCTAGGCCTAGGCGTTTTTAGTAAATTGATCAGAAACAGTTTTTACCTACAAGGTCAATGTGACCTTGACCTTTGACCCCTTGACCCCAAAATCAATAGGGGTCATCTGCTGGTCATGACCAATCACCATGCCAAGTTTGAAGTTTCTAGGCCGAAGCGTTCTTTAGTTATTGATCAGAAACCGTTTTTACTTACAAGGTCATTGTGACCTTGACCTTTGACGCCTTGATCCCAAAATCAATAGGAGTAATCTGCTGGTAATGACAAATCACCATACCAAGTTTGAAGTTCCTAGGCCTAAGCGTTCTTGAGTTATTGATTAGAAACCATTTTTACTTAAAAGGTCAATGTGACCTTGACCTTTGACCCCTTCACCTTAAACTCAATAGGGGTCATCTGCTGGTCATGACCAATCATCACAAAAAGTTTGAAGTTCCTAGGCCTAAGCGTTTTTAGTTAATTGATCGGAAACCGTTTTTACCTACAAGGTCAATGTGACCTTGACCTTTGACCCCTTGACCCCAAAATCAATAGGTCATCTGCTGGTCATGACCAATCACCATACCAAGTTTGAAGTTCCTAGGCATAAGGGTTCTTAAGTTATTGATCGGAAAGCATTTTTACCTACAAGGTCAATGTGACCTTGCCCTTTAACCCCTTATTCCCAAAATCAATAGGGGTCATCTGCTGGTCATGACCAATCACCATACCAAGTTTGAAGTTCCTAGGCCTAAGGGTTCTTTAGTTATTGATCAAAAACCGTTTTTACCTAAGAGGTCAATGTGACCTTGACCTTTGACCCCTTGACCCCAAAATCTATACGGGTCATCTACTAATCATGACCAATCACCATACCAAGTTTGAAGTCCCTAGGCCTAAGGGTTCTTTCATTATTGATCGGAAACCGTTTTTACCTACAAGGTCAATGTGACCTTGACCTTTGACCCTTTAACGCCAAAATCAATAGGGGTCATCTACTGATCATGACCAATCACCATACCAAGTTTGAAGTTCCTAGGCCTTAAGGTTCTTTAGTTATTGATCGGAAACTGTTTTTGCTTACAAGGTCAATGTGACCTTGACCTTTGACCCCTTGACCCCAAAATCAATAGGGGTCATCTACTGGTCATGACTAATCACCATACAAAGTTTGAAGTTCCTAGGCCTTAAGGTTCTTTAGTTATTGATCGGAAACCGTTTTTGCTTTCAAGGTCAATGTGACCTTGACCTTTGACCCCTTGACTCCAAAATCAATAGGGGTCATCTACTGGTCATGACAATCACCATACCAAGTTTGAAGTTCCTAGGCCTTAAGGTTCTTTAGTTATTGATCGGAAACCGTTTTTGCTTTCAAGGTCAATGTGACCTTGACCTTTGACCCCTTGACCCCAAAATCAATAGGGGTCATCTACTGGTCATGACCAATCACCATACCAAGTTTTGAAGTTCCTAGGCCTTAAGGTTCTTTAGTTATTGATCGGAAACCGTTTTTGCTTTCAAGGTCAATGTGACCTTGACCTTTGACCCCTTGACCCCAAAATCAATAGGGGTCATCTACTGGTCATGATCAATCACCATACCAAGTTTGAAGTTCCTAGGCCTAAGGGTTCTTTAGTTATCACTCGGAAACCATTTGGTCTACGGACCGACGGACCGACGGACCGACAAGTGCAAAGCAATATACCCCCTTTTTTTCAAAATGGGGGCATAATAATCACACACATAATAACACCATGTTGATACACATGCTGCAAGATTTACTGAAAATAATCACACACACAATTACATAATGTTGATACACATGCTGCTACAAACACAAATAGGAATTATAAATGGTTTACAACTAAGGTAACTAGAAGGGCACAACTACACTAGGGATTTCTAAAACTATTCATGAAGTATGGTTTCTCAATAAGTACACTGAATGCTGGGAAAATCTGAAGATTATAGATATTTTCTTAACATGCAATAACACAAAAATAAGTCTATGACTAAGATTGTGACATGCAGATATATTAATCTTGCATAGATGCAAAAACAGACTGAATAATATAATTTCATACTTGGAAATTACCCAACTTTAATATAAATTTTGATCAGGCATGCACATAATAATGTAACTTATAACTTTGAGCCCTACACAACCATGTTTCTTCATATGACACCAGCACTGGTTGGTTCCAGAAAGCAGACTCAAAAGTGATTTATATGTGTGTTTCGCAATCAAGATGAAATAAATATGTTTAAACTAAACTCATATAACTCATGCAAAATTCTGTAGACCAATTTTTGTATTATAAATCTATACAAACAATGTAGAAGGTTATACCTACAGTATTGACTATAGAGAGATAAGTCACATTTGTTTACTTACTTGGGATCTAGGGGAGCTGGAGTTTCCTGATCTCCACTCATTGATATAGACATTGACCTCTGTATCTCCTCATCACTGATCACATGGAACTTGTCCTCGCCATTATCTCCCCTTTCATCACTTAATAAGTTAATATAATATAGGTATAGATATAATGTTATAGTCTAGCTCTTTGGTTATATACAGGTAATATAGGTATAGGTGCAAGACTGGTAAAGATGGTGACAGAATAGATAAGAATGAATATTTCAAGCTGTCATAATGCAAGAGAAGAGTTGCAAGGATTCATTTTCAAATTTTTGTTATTTTTCAGCATCATTAACTATTATTTTAATCTGTTATAGAATAAACTTTAAAACTTTAAAATGAAATTTTCAGGTCAAAGACTAAATGTCTATGTGCATCTATTCAATACATGTATATGACTTGTTGTCATGGAACAAAAACCAATTTTAATTCTAAATCATCCTCATTATATTAAACTAATTTTAATTCACAATAAAGAATATATACTAGGACGAAAAAGAAACGCCGGGTACATAAAATATGCAACACATATTTTATTGCTTGGCCTAAAATAATGAAAATCGGTCAGATTTATATAATGCCCCATGTCGCCAGAGTTTGCCAGCAATTTCTTGCCAACAGTAACATACACCCACTCGATTGGCCAGCATTCAGTCCAGATTTGTCCCCAATTGAACATTTGTGGGACGAACTGGATAGGAGGGTAAGGAGACGTCCAAATGCCCCCACAAATCATGTCCAGCTCACACATGCCTTGCATGAAGAATGGAATAACATCCCCATGGCCATGATTAACACCCTGGTGAATTCCATGCATAGACGCATCAGGGCTGCCACAGCTGCGCATGGAGGACACACAAGATACTGATATGTCCGGCCGTGTTTTGCAAAACAAGAAGGGTCATCGTTAAAAGGGGGTATTTTTTCACATAATCAGCATCGGAAATCGATTGAAACTTCAACAGCTGGTTCCATACAGATGACATTTCATACAAAAATGAATATAATAATCCAATAATACAATTTATCCCTTAAAACAATCATTATAGGTTACCCAGCGTTTCTTTTTCGTCCTAGTATATAATGGAAAATTAAAATTTATGAAAAAATTCTTTATTTTATGGAATACAAAGAAACCCGCACACAATAAGCTAATGTATCAAAACTATACCTTATTTTTCTGATTAATTGTATGCAATAAACAAAACAAACAAACAAGCCAGACAATTGTGTAAACTAAGTACATAAAACAAGTAATATGGCTTTAAATAGTAATATATCATATACATGTACATTCTAATCAACATATCAAAACATGGCATTGATCCTTTTTGGGGGACTGATATTATACAAACAACTAACCTTTTGCCACCAACAGCACTATCTTTCAGTTTATCCTCGTCTGTCTCGTTCCCACCAGAAGCTCCTAACTGAGATTCTAACTGTGTGGTAACATTCTCGCCACCTAGAGCCTCTGTCTGTGGAGATACATCATTTTCTGTGGTAACAGTATCATATACCAGTTTACAACTAGCAATAGCTGATTCTGTCACTGATTCCTCGTCTAAATATAAAACATAAAATTATATCATTTTTTTTATAATACTGCATGTTTGTAATGTAACTTTTCATTGGATGATAATGATGTTTATATAGTTTTATATGAGTACTGTCAATTTATGATGAAATCTCGTTTTTTTTTCCCTCTAAAAAGGAAGTTGGCTGTATTACAAATTCGTTATAAGATTCTTGACAGGTTATGTAGCCATATATAAACAGTTATTTGCATTGTAACCATTGCCTAGTTGCTCAGGTTACATATGAAAGCATCCATTTATATAGGGCCATATAACCTGTCAAAAAATTTTATAACTAATAATCTATATATTAACAGATCAAATCACTGAAAAAATGTTTATTTTCAGAGGGAAACAATGAAAATCAGAATGGATCTATATATATATATATATATTTATAGATAAAATTATAATGTTTAAGAAATAACAAACTCTATGTAACCGAATTTACATAGAGTTTGTTATTTCTTAAACATTATAATTTTATCTATTTCAACACTGCACAAGGAACATTTATCACGTTTTAATATATATATATATATAAATAAAACAAAAAACCCAGTCCATGAGTTAACTTATTTAATTAGTTGCCAACCGGTTTCTCTTATGATCATAAGAGAAACCGGTTGGCAACTAATTAAATAAGTTAACTCATGGACTGTGTTTTTTGTTTTATTTATATGTGACTTTTTTCCGGCACTTGTTTTCATTTTTTGTATATACAGTAGAACTTCTATGAGTGGAACTTCGATTAGTCGATTTTCTCGATGTGTCGAAGAAAAATTAAAGTCCCGACTTTTCCCCCTATATATTCCTTATAAAAACCTATTTATGAGTCGAGATTTTATGTGTCGAATTTTTCGATGTGTCGAGGTTTTTCGTGGTCCGTGTTAAGTAAATCTAGTGCAATTTACCACAAATAAGTCGAAGTTGTTCGATTATTTTGACAGACATTTTTCACACCTTATCTGGCTGCGAAGACGATTTCCAATCAACTATTGTGACAGGTGTTAATTACACAGCCGTGTGTTCAAACAGCCTTTGTTTGCGATAAAATGTGTGATAAAATGCTTTAATCGTTACTATTTTAATTGCCGTAGTGGTATTTGAAAGTAAACAGTAAGAACTACTTTCATTTGATTACATCCTTGACCCGGTGTCGCGTGAGAATAACACGCAAAATATATACTATAAGTTGGTTAAGTTATCGCCCTTTCGTATTGTTACGCCTTTTGTAACTCTATTGTATACGTCAACGGGTAGTCCAAATAATTAGCCGTGAAAAACGTTATTTAACATGCTATATTTATCATTGTAAAATGTGAATATCAGATTAATGATGGAAAAAACATGAAATAGGTTTCGTTATAGACTAGTCACGGGTCGAAATTTTGTCATGGAATTGAGAGCGATTCATGAGTCGAAGTCCCGATGTGTCGAAGTTTTTACGCAAGTCCCTTCAACTTCGACTTACCGAAGTTCTACTGTATATATATATATATATATATATATATATATATACATGTCTCAACACATGTTTTCTTCTGCTTCAATCATATATATACATTTGTAAATAGTTATATAATACAAAGGAAGACCTTATTACATTTGAGACATAGCAAAGACCTTGAATGTGCAGTTTACACTGTTCTAGACAAAAAGATATTTTGTAAAGCAACTATCATTTTCACATAAATCATAAATGCCAAAAAAATTCAGTTATACAACAATGCATGATAATTTAATTTATCTGAAATTATATTACAAATAATGATTGCATATAAAGTGAAATATTCTCTTACCAGATGATATGATAGAAGATTGTATACTAGCCGAGCTAGGTAACGGAGAACCGAGCACCTGTCGTTTAGGAATCTCTACACTTTGTTCTATATCAGTATTGGTAACATGACAGTCCTCTCCCTGTAATGCCTTGTTGTACTGTTTAAAACATTCAGAACATGCTCGTGACTTCTTGCTGTGTAAAACAAGATGATTAAAATAAATATTAAATCGTATAATCATCTCAGAACCAAAAATATTAACAAGTAATCAAATATTTCAAACACTGATAATACTTTTCCCAGATGTAACTTTGACAAAGCTTAAAATTACATATATGAGGTTTAATAGGAAAGTGACCTTGATCTTACAATACAATATAACACAATCTAATCGACCCAAGTAGGAAAATATTTTTAGCAAAAATGACCTTGACCTAATTGACCTGAAACCACAAATGGTAGATGTTCACGGTGGGTTTCTGATCTAAAATGTGAGTCAATTAAATTAGGTGTCCTGAGATCTGCGAGTGTGATGAAGAATAGGAAAAAAGGACCAAATTTCTGACTGGAAACAAGATGCTCCACCGAAAAGAAAAGTTTTATGGAACAATAAATTTTTTTCTAAAAATCTAAATAAGTTACAAAATCTGCATAAAATAATAATAAATCTATACTCTAAATCATTATGTATACATTTGACTGCCTATAATCATGTACATTTAACATTTAGTTGGTTATAATACCTGCTGGAAGCTGTATGTACCCAGTTACCACTACATGTGTGACAAAATATTCTCCCACATAATCTACAGTGATGCTGTAACATAGAATAAAATACTGATTATTGATACATTTTAACAGGACAAAAGGAAGGCAATTTACTCACTTCATTTGTTGGTCTTTCTTAAACATGTAATAAAAGTCCAATTAAATGAAATTTCCTTAAACTCAACTTTAATAATCTGAATCTAAGCTAATCATGTCAACTGTCTCTCAAGTAATACATTGTGAGTTTGGTCCCTATCAACATAACATTCAAGGTTTCCTTTTACTACTACAACAACAACAACAACATTTTATTTTGTGAATAAAGGCCTCCGACCCAAAATACAGACTATAATCAAAACAGATATGCATATTTAGCTGTGTCTACAATACACGTTTATATCTATGTCATGTAATGGTTAACTCAGTGGTCATAGATGAAAGAATCCAATATTGGTGATTCAAAACCACAGTGGGGATGGAAAAGTATCTTAATAGCAAGCATAACCACTAGGTTACATCAATATCAATACTAAATGTACATAATATTAGTATAAATACATTAGAAAATATAAACAACACCTTTCTCAGTGTAAATGAGAACTCAGCATTACATCCGAGACAATGTGTAACTTTCCCATCATCCATCCATTTCTCTGTAGCCTGTAACTTCTGCTGGAATGACAGCTTGTCTGTCTTCTGCCATAGTTCATCTTTGTCCCTACATCAAACACAAACATAATTCCTTCATCTAAATATCTACTGGTGTAGAGATAGAGATGTAAAAAACAATGCAAGAACAAAGGAGTTACTTGTCATATCTAAAACAAGATCTTGACAAGTTTTGTTGCAGGAATGTATTTCATACAGAGAGGAAACCAAGAGATACTTTGCCAAAAAAGCATTATTTATGGAAAAACAAATGTAACAGGGTCATTACATAAATAACTTGATCTACAACCTGTATCTACCTGGAAATGATTCTGATGGCCAAAGATTGCACAAGGTAAAGAAAGATCAAGTATGATCTGTTCTGGTAAAATATATGAGTTCCAAAAAGTAATCAACAGATTAAAATTAAGGCACTCTTCTTAACATACATTTTTATTATAGACCAACTTGTATTTAATCCAGATATTCAACAATAACATGATGTTATTATGTCAGCATTCTTGATAATATTCATATACAATATGGATTTTCTTTTTGTCAGGTCAAAATTTTAATAATGTGCATTTAAATTAAATGCATGAGTGAATATAGCAAAATAATTAAGGCATATGAACAATACAAAATAAAAATATTACTTGATCAACTTGACAAGTTTCTTTTTCAATTCATTAACATCTTCTTTAAGTTGAATGATCTCTTCTTCTTTCTGTTGTAGTAATTCCTCTGTCTTCACCTTCTGATTATCATAGGAATTCTATAAAACAGATAACATGTTACATTTTATATATTTGATGTGAGAACAGAGTTGTTTCATGTATTTGCCTATACCATCTTCACTACATGAATGTCTAAATTCATCAACTTGAAGAATGATCAACCACATTAAATCAACTCAGAGTCAACAGTGAAATCAGTAATTCGGGGAGAAAATTACATCAATGATCTAATTAAAAACAAAAAATATATCATTTAACATCTAGCACTATAATATGTGCATAAATTACCTTCTACTTGTAATAAAATCATGTCTAAAACATGTGTTAGAATTGATACAGAATCTGCAGAACTATTTAAATAGCAAGCCTCAAAGTATTCTATTAGGTTACTGATAAAAATGTGTGTATAATTCAACAACAAACAGTGAAACCAACAAACTTTTAAGTTTTCACAGAATTTCTTTTAGTTTGATTATGTACGAAGTTATAAGCTTGTAAAATCTCTACTTAGGAAATATATATCAATTCTGAGTGCATTGTTGTAGAATAATGCACGGTTTGAGTTCAAATGCGTAGTAATATAATCACGAAGGCCGATAGGCCTGAGTGATTAATTACAAAGCATTTGAACGAAAAACGTGCATTATTATACAATAATGCACAAAGAATTAATATCTATTTCCATTCTAACACGTCAAGAAAAAATGTAATTATCATTATAAAGTTGGACTTTATGTTTGGTGATTAAATTTGTTTTCGCCTCAGCGTTTCCAATAGAAACGTTCTTTAAAGGCTGTTCCAGTGGGTTGAAAAAACTGTCGTTAAATCTACCCTGTGTAGAAACATTTTGAGAATAACGAATTTTGAAAACGTTTGTAAGTTTTGTTTGTTTATTTTATTTCACTCTATAATTTTTCAAGCGAAATACAAATTATTAAAAGTAAAATAAATGCAAAACTGAACTCGCTTGCGACATAAAAATAGTGTTCTCGATTTGATTGTTTTGCACGTGCTGTTTGGCGCTACATTGTGACGTCACGTAAACAACACTTTAAACGTCAGTACAGCGTTAACGACTGAATTAAAGATATTGGTGTTCGGATTAATTTTCTTAGTTAGACCATTTTCTTTCATTCTAGATAGTTTTCACAACAAAATTCGACAAAAAATGTTTATTATTTATCAGATTTTGCAAACAAAATGGCGCCCTCAATGTGAAAATGTGAAAATACACAGGGAGATTATAAGAACGGCGAGTGCATTGTTGTAGAATAATGCACGCTTCGGGCCTTCTTTGTTTATATAGAAAAATTTCCGATAGTGTTAGAATATTTGTTTTGAGTCAGAATGTAATGTTAACTAGTTTAGTTACCTTTACGGTTAAAGAGGAAGTCATCTCTTGTTTTAGCTCACTCTGCAGCTAAATAAAGCAACAAAATAAAAGTGAATATTAAAAGGATGAAATACACTAAAACTATAAAATAAAATAACCGCAAGAAAAAAAAGAATAAAAAGAAGTTGGTGAACGCCAAGACAAAAAAGAAGTTAGATTTTAGATCTAAATAAAGAAATTTTATCTTAAGATAAGTTATGTTCATATTTGATATTTCAAAATATTGGTATTTGCTACACAGCCTCTATTGTAATTGAAAAATAAACATATTTCAAGTACACACAGTTTACATATGTCATGTTCAAAATTCTATATACTATTTGTAAAGACAGTATGAATACATAGTGTAATTAAAAACTGGCAATTTTTACAAAAAACTACTTTAACTTGACCCATAATAGGGACTGCAGCTTCCCATGCATAGTTTGTGCATTCTCTCATTCAAATTGGACATATTCAGTAATTATTTCATAGATGGTAATAAATTTTTGCAATAAAATCATTTCACTCAAAGATAAGCATAGTAAATATGAAAGTATACATTTTCAAGTTGTTCAGCAAGATCAGACTTTTCCATCTCCTTGTTGCTCAATTCTTCCTGTAGTCCTTCAATCTATATGATAAGTAAGTAAAACATGCAATATATTCTGATTTTAGTATAAGAATAATGGAAAATTCAAGATCCTTTAGCTAGAGCAAATTTCTGAAAAACAAGAGAATTTTGTTATTTTTTCCAGAGACATAGATAACAATTAAGTTTAGATAACGATTAAGTTTAGAAAGAACGCGTGATATTTTAACTGGTTAAGAAGTTGCCTATCTCTGTTATCTATGTCTCTTTTTTTTCTAAACTAATCAATGACAAAACAATACATATCATACTGTATATCACATATCAAATTCAACAGATCATTTCCAGAATAAAATATGTAAAAACATTTGGAAGTTACTATAAACCTAATATATATAAAGCTTGGAATATAAATCACAAAATAAAACAAAAACTCAAGAAAATACATCCATCATACAATTACCTGTATCTTTCAGAAAAAAAATGTTTATTCCATCCTAGGGTTTTAGTGAAGACAGTATAGAGTAGTTTTGATAGTGAGAACATTTCAGATATTATTTGCGCAAATTGTAAATATGAGAAAACAAAAATAGTTCCACTTTTAGAATGTCTGATATAAAATAATATACCTCAGACTGCATGCTAATGCTTATTTCATACTTTTTGTTGCCCTGGCATTGTGAGAATTGGAGCTGGCTCTATTTGATTAAGCTAACACTAACATTCTCAAAGTCAAAATCTCAGCTCAAAGCCGGGCCCTGCAGTGATGACAGGAAAGTGATTAAAAATTTGCTACCTTAAACACTTGGCCATCAATGCCACTTGCATGCTGAAGTAATATTACAGAAATTTATAAAATTGTAAATGTTAACTTCACACAAGTGTGTTACTAACCTTCAACTCTTGTTCTCTATACTTCTTGGCAACTTCCTTTAACTCGGACATTTCACACTGTAATTGATCTATAATTGTCTCTTGTTCCATCAACTTCTCCTTCATATCAGTAAAGTCTTTCTCCTCTGTACCAGCCTGAAATACAAATATTTCATGTAAAGCCAGTCATTGCTATTTCTACAAACTAACACTCATTGGAAACATTCATATTCAAACATGGATAAAGATTATTACATATTTGACTAATTTACTTATAGGCAAATATATTTAATTTTCACAGTCACTACCATAATTTGGTAAGCATGGGATTGTTAGAGATAATTTTACTTGTAGGAAGCGTAATTGTCCAGAGTTAGACCAACTTAAAAAGCAACTGTCTCATTCATATTGCACCTTAATAAGGAACAATATACATTTGTGTCTAAACTCTTTAAAGAGAGCTAATAACAATTAATGATATAAGGCCACAAAATTGTCAGTATAACTGGAAAAATCAGTCTGCAGTATTGAAGTTTTTTTAAAGGCAATAAAGGTAACATTTATTCATTTAAATTCACTGTATGTTACAGAAACAATACATGTTGGATGGTTATCATTTTCTCCTTTACAGACTTAGGATATGCTAAAGAGCAAGGGACTCATGAGCAATACTCGTCATCAATGTCATAGTTTCATAAATACCTTTTGAATCTGTTCAGCCTCCAGCTGATAAGAACTCAACTGGAACTCCAGTGCTGCTATCTCTTGTCTCAGGGTGTCCACTTCAGACTCACTGTCCAAAGCTTTCTTCTCATTCTCCTGCTCCAAACTTTCCAGCTTAGTCTCTCTTTCTTTTAATGTTTCCTCCAACTTTCTCAAATTTTCATTTTCATGATCTGCATTTGATTTCAATTTTTCATTTTCATCCTGTAGTTGAGTACACTGTTCCTCAAATTTCTTACTTTGCTCTGAAAGCTCTGTTAATTTTTTCATGTAATTACTTTCTGATTCATCATATTTTTGCTGGTCTTCCCTGAAGACATTATTTTCTTTCGTCAATTCTTGCACTTTTATGGTCAATTCATTCACAAGTTCATTTAGCTCAGAAACTTTCTTCTCATTTTCTCCTTTAAAGTCTTCAAACTTTTCAACTTGTTCTTCCAGACTGCTTTTTTCAATATCGAAATTATCAATTTTTTCATTATTACTTTCAATGAGGGCATCTTTTTCATTAAGCTGCTCTTTAAGTTGGTTTAACTCAACTACTAATAATTCCTTCTCTGATTTTATCTTCTCTACTTCAGCACAAGTTGTTTCTAATATGGTCTGAGAAGATTGCAAAACCTCTTCCTTTTCTTTAATATCACTTTTAAGTTTTTCAACTTCCTCTATAAACTCTTTCAGCATTTGCTCAATTGAAGCTTTCTCCTGTTGCAAAGTTTGCAAATTATCATCCGCTTCTGATTCCAGTGACACTTTTATATTTTCTAACTCTTCAATCTTTGCATGGTTCTCTTCTATCTGGTTTTCTAAATCATCTGTAACTGATAGTATCCTTTCATTCAAACACTCAACCTTCTGTTCAAGCTCCTCATTTCTTGACTCACTCTCGCGAAGACTTTTCTCAAGACACAACTTCTCTTCATGGGAACTTTCTAATTCTGATGAAGTTTTATTCAACTGTTCTTTTATAACCTGTAAATCTGTGACTGCATCTTCTAAATTTTTAACAAGTTCATTTTTCTTTGTTTCCAGTTCTACAGTGACCTGTCTTAAATCAGTTTCACATGTTTCCCTATCCTGTTCTATTTGATTAAGCTTCAACTTCAAGTCATCAACTTCTTTCTCATACTCTGAACATTTCAAATCATTTGTTTCTTTTATATGTCTCAGTTCCTCAACCTCATTCTCCAATTTTTGCTGTACTAGTTTCATATCATTTTCATTCATTTCTAAAGTTTGAAGTTTACTTGATAGGTTCTTTGCCTCCTGAATTGCAAATTCTTTTGATTCAAGAAGACTGACTTCTCTTTGTTTTATTTCATCTATTTCATTTTCAAGCTTTGTTATATCACTACTTCTTTGTTGCTGTATTTCATTGACCTCATTCTTTAACTGTGCAATTATATCTAAATCACCAGTAGCTTTAGTTTGAAGACTATCCTTCTCTTGCTGTTGAGCTTTCAAATCTAATGTTAGTTGATGTTTGTCATTTTCAAGTTCTTTCACACTGCATTTCAAATCTTCATACTTCAGTTCCCAATCACTTATTTCTTCAGATTTTTCATTCACTTTTAGTTCTAATTGAGAGCATAAGTCTTTAGCTTTTAAAATGTCTTCATTTAATTTGGCTTCCTTTTCCATAAACACATGAATTTTTTCATTTGCTTCTTGAATAGTATTTTCTCGTGAAAGCAAAGTTTCTTTCAAACTGCTAATTTCATCACACTTGCTTTCAATTTCAGTTTGATATGTTTGCTCCATTTGCTCTTTCATTTTGCATTTTTCATCTAAATCTTTGATTGCCTTTACAGATAATTCATTATTGTTTTGAAGACTTATGATCTCATCTGTCATTTCTTTAATTTTCTTCTGTAAAGTTTGTGTTTCTGTATTTTTCTTCCCAACTTCACCTGAAGTCTCCTTAAATTGTTCTTCTAAGTTATCTTTAATTGAACACATTTCTGTTAACTGATTTTCTAAATCTGATGTTTTAGCTTCAAAGTCAGAACACTGATGTTTCAATAAAGTAACTTCATCCATCAAAGTTTCCTTTTCATTTACCAAAGAGTCTCTTTCCACCATCATATCTTGAAGGCTTTTTTCATTAGTTCTTAACTGTTCATCTGTATACTGATGTTTCGACAATATTTCATCCCTACAAGCTGTCATTTCGGTAAGTTTCGACCTTACAACTTCTTCTGTTTCTTTGAGATCATTAAATGTCTGCTGTAATAGGTCATACTCCTGAACTAGACAAGCATTTTCAGATTGGAAATCATCAAACCTTGCCTGCAGTTCATTCATTTCAACACATTTCAAAGACAGATTACCCTGTATACTCTCCTTTTCTAACTCACTTTTTTGAATATGTTCTTCAAGCTTCTTTATAGCATCAACGTTATTTGATTCTTTTTCTTGCAATACTAAGACGTCATCTGAAATCTTTTGGAACTGTTTCTCAATTTCCATTTTCTCTGATTCTAGCTTTTCAAAATAAGCATTTTTTTCTTCCATGTTTTTTAGCATTTCACACATTTCATTATCCTTGCTTTTTATTTGCGTTTGTAATCCATTTATGTCATTTTGAAGTGACTTTTCTTTCTCTTGCAATTCAATTTTCTCACTTTGTTGTAAATTTATATTTTTATTTAGTCTTTCAATTTCCTCAACTAATTCAATTTGTCTGGTGTTTAAAGAATCTATTTCATTTTTGTTATTCATATCACTTTCTTCTAATTGTGAAATATGTTCCATAAAGTCTTTTTTCTCTTTTTCTAAATTTCCAAGGGTTATTCTTTGTTCATCTAACTCTTTAGTGTCATCCTTAAGTTCCCTTTCTAAAGAATCAATATTTTCCTCGAGCTCATATTTGTCTTTTGAGAGAACATCAAAATCAAGCTGAAGCTTTT